CCACCCCAGACATATTGTATGTTCACGGGTCTGCGTTTGCTGCCTGTCTTCTCCTTCCGGAATGCAAACTTCACAAGAGCAGGAACTCCCCCTGCTTTGCTCCATGCTGTGTGCCCAGCACCCAGAGCGGCACCAGGCTCTCAGAAGATACTCAGGAAAAGCGTCGAACAACTATTTATACCCTTCCCTACCGCAGCCTGAGCGCAGGTGCCTGCGTACACAGCCCTGTCCAGCCCTGAAGGAGCAGCCCCTCCCTGAGGCAGACTGTCTCACCCGGAGCTAGACTCCTCCCTCTGCTCGTGTCTTGCCTCAAGTAGAGTCCAGGCACCCTCCCCACCAGCAGTCCAGGGGAACTGGTTTCCTGGGCAATCTCGGGCATGGTGGCTGCTCCCCTCCCTTTTCCTAGGCACCAACTTGCAGGGAGAAGACTGGACGTAAGCTAAGTTCCTTGGATAGCGAAGGTCAAGAAGAAAGAAGGACACGCTCCCTGGGAGAGACCCCAGCACTCCTCTCCTGGTTATGGGGCTGATCCTCCTCTCCTTCCCGACACTCTCCTGACCACTGGCTGCTCCCAGGACACACCATGGCTGGCTGGCAGTCTCCCTTCTGAGCCTCTACTTCCCTCCACTTGTGCATTCTGGAATGACCTCCTCCCCCTGGGAGAGAACTCCAATTCCTCGGAGACCAGTTCAAATGCCACGTCCTGGGCAAAGCTCTGCCTCACCCTCCAGGCTCCCCCAATCTCAGCTCTCAGGACTCTGGCCCAGCATTACCCTAGACTTGAGGCTCCAAGTCATCTTTCCTTGAGCCCTTTAGGCCTGGGTCACAGTGCCTGGCCATGGTACATGTCCAGAAGTTAACTGGTCTTTGGGTCTGTAATGTCCACCCTGGAATGGGGGAAAGGGCATGAGTTTGGGGACTGGGCATCAGACCTGGAGTCAAAAGCCGAAGGCCATTCGTTACTAGGCTGTGAGCCCTTGACTAAATCACTGAGTCTCTCTGAACCTCAGTCTCCTTATCTATAAAATGGGGATTGTACAGTGACGACTTCACGGAGCTACTGAAAGGATTAGGAATCACACACACAAAGTGTCTGTGCTTAATTAACAGCAGCTATTACTACTATTAGGGGCTACGGAAATGGTGTTAGAGGCAGGGCCTGGGCCAGCCATGTGTAGCACGGCACTCTGCCCAAACAGGGTCCCCTATGTACTGCCGGATGCAAAGATGGGCCCTGGCCTCAGAGAGCTGACCCAGGATGGCAAATAGTAGGCTCTCCTGTACTTCCGGGCTCAGTGGCCCATGCCATCAGCCCTGGCACAGCTGGCTTATTGGCCCCTACCGTGTCCCACGGACAGAGAGTTTGGGAAGTTCCCTAGAGAAGGAGGACTTTAAGGAGAGGAGGACACAAACCAGGCTCCGTTTCTCCTCTCCTTCTGGAGAAGTGCAAAGGGGAAGAGTCAAGCCAAAACAGAAAGTACATTCATCACTGTGCACTGCCCCCTCCAACCCGGACATTCTGACAGTACAGTTTCCTGAAAAACCCCACCAGACTAAGGTTTACTCAGCACCCCTCCCCCCTCCACATGCCAGGCCCTGTTAAATGTCTGGGACACCCCAGCTCTGTGATGACAAGACCCCCGGCCTACTCAGGGGCTGGTGAGTCAGGCCCCACCCACCCTCAGTGCTACTGGATAAAACTCGGGAGCTAAGGAGGTCAAGTTCTCAAGGTCAGCCTGGAAAGGGCCATCTTCTGGGAGAGATCTCAGTCCCGTCAGCCCACACGAGGGAAGGCTCCACAGGTAGAAGAGAGTTCAGCACAGACTCCTGTCAGCACCAGCTGTAACCAGACAGAAGCCAGGCTCAGCCCCAGTCAGAAAAAGTTCACAAGGACACACAACTGGTCAGATGGAATGCTCTGCTTGTCCCTTGTCTTACAGATGTGGCAGCCGCCCCGTGGGTGGGGGGGAGGGGAGGGCTGGGGTACCGAGGCAGTTTCTCAGAGACAGCTGTGGACCTGGAGTCAAGAGACAGTTCTTGAACTTCCTGCTAAGTGACACTGACCTTACTTCCCTTCAGTCCCAGCTTCTTTGTCTGTAAAATGGAGCCAACAATCTCTACCACTCAAGGGAACAAGTAAGAGCTGACAAATGTACAGACTTTTTGGTCTCACCCACCCTCCTCCCCAGCCTAGGTGTGCGTGAGCTCCATTTAATGCTGAGCCTGTGCTAGTCCCTGGGGCTATTCGGGGGCTCCAGGTCTGGTGAGGGAGGCTAACACATAAAACATGGTGCCTCACTGTAATCAGCACTTTCAGGGAGGAACAAACAATGGACCGTGGGCTCTCAGAGAAGGGAGCATCTGACCCAGGCTGCAGTGGGTGAGGTTGGGAAAGCCACAAAGAGGAGGAGCTATCTGACCCAGGCCTTGAAGCATCCACATGTATCAACCATAGGCAAGGAAGACGAGCATTCCAGGCAGGCAAAACAGCATGAGCAAAGGCCCAGATTCTGGTCTAAAGCACAGGCCCAGCCCACAAGCTTGCAGGCTGACCACCCCAGGGGCCCTGCCCCCAAACACCAGGCACCAGCCCTTCAGACAAGCCCCCCCCCCCCGCTGCCCCGGGCATGGTCCCCACAGGCTCCTAAACCAAGGGGATACTTCCTCATGGCCAAGTGAGGAAAGGAATCCCCAACCTCAGCAGAGGAGACTGCCTCTGCCCTCCTGCCCACCTCAGCCCTCCCCCTGCAAGAGCTCTGTTCAGAGGACCCAGCTGCCCATTTTCTGAGTCCACCTCAGTCTCTACCTCTCTCTGGTAAGTTCATCCTCCTGCCCTAAGGTCCCTAACTAATTGTCAGCTCCTCTGGGAAGCCAGTCTTGGCCCTTCTTTCCCATGGGTTCCCAGAGCTCTGTGTATATTTCTATAGAGTTCATGCTTGTCATGTAACATTCATTCATTTCCAGAGTCATTTCCTGAGCAGACTAACATCAGGTCTGAGTCTTTTTCATTCTTGAATCCTCACTCAATAAATCCAGATCCTGATCCCCATGCCCTCCACCCCAGCATTTTATTTATTGACAAAAAGCCAGGCTCTGGGGCTCTGGGACAGAATGAGAAGTCAGCCACATCAGCAGTCCTCAAGCAATTTATGAAATTAAAAATTACAACCACTGCTCTACAACATTCTTATATAAGCAATAACAGCTAACATTTATTTACTGAGCATTCATGTGCTCACTGATTTAAACCCTACACATACATTATTTCATTTAATCCTTACAGTAACTCTATGAGGTAGACACATGGCTACCTCCAATTTTTACAAATGAGAAAACTGAGGCACTTTCTTCATCAAGGTCATAAAACAGTATCAGAACCCATAAAGTCTGATTCAGGCATCTGTATTATCAACCACTGTTCTAGTATGGACAGGGTGTTGCAGGGACACAGGGGGCAGTATTAAGTCTTGGACAGGGGGGATGGGAGGAAGTCAACCCAGAAGTCGTATTCCCTGAGCTGAGCACTGAGAAGATCAAGTAGAAGGCAGCCTGGCAGATAAGAGGAGAAGGGGCTTCCCAGGCAGAGGGGCTGGTGTGCAAAGGCATGGAGACACAAAATTGCAAGGCGTGGGCAAGTGCATCGTGTGATGCCATGTTATTGGACTTCAGGGTGCACTTAGGAGACTGGCAGGAAAGAGGTCAGAACCCAGACAGTGCTGTAAATTGTACTAGGGATTCAGCCGTTTTCCACAAGCAATGGGAAGCCAACAAAGGGTTTTAAGCAAGGAAGTAACACTATGAGACTTGTTTTAAAAGGATCACAAGAGGGGCATCTGGCTGGCTCTGTTGGGAGTCTAAAAAAAAAAAAGAGAGAGAGAGAGAGAGATCATAAGAGTTAGTTTGGAGACTGGGCTGCAGGCAGCCATGATCAGAAGTTGCTGGGAAGCCACTGCAGTTATCCTGGTGAGAAACACATCAAGGTGGTACCAGAAGATATGGAGGCCCAGGACCAGGTGTGCAGTATGTTCAGGAAGTTAGCTGGATCGGGTCACCCCACAGATGTGGGAATTGAGGGAGAAGAGGAAGCATAAGATAATTTCCCGGTCTAGCGCTGGGATGCGATGGCAGAGGAAGAAGAATGCGTTTGCAGGGCGGGGGGGGGGGGGGAGGGGGGGGGGGGAAGACCAGTGCAAGAGAGCTGCAGCTGAAAGGGAGCTGTCCACTGGTAGCTGGACCGCCAAGTCTGGGGCTCCAGGGAGGGGCTGCGCTGAAAAAAGAGGTCGATGTGGGCGCCTTTCGGGTATCTAGGTGGTGTAAAGCTGAAGCCACGAGAGTGGATGAGACCATCAAAATTCAGTGTATAGAGCGGGGGCTGGGCAGGACACGAGAATAGGAAACGGTACTTCCACTGTCAGAACAGGAGGAAGAAAATAAGGAGATGCAGACGCCGAGGACGCCAAGGGGGAGGGGCGTGCCAATTATATCAATTAGGAACGAGTGTCACTGGTGTTATGCACCTCTATGAACTCAAGAAAGATTCTTTAAAGGGCCCTTTTGATGTCGATTAGGGAAGTCATTCACTGCCGTTTTCAAAGGAAGTTGGGGGAGACCGGATGACAGTGAGACGCAGACCTACCGGAACGTGATGTTTTCCTCCTCTTTCAGAGACCCTGACCCCTGCCCATATCCAACTTCCGTCCCCCACTACCCAGATTTCGTGCCTCGCCTCTCCCCTCAGAGTGAGGCTCTGGACAGCGAGCCGGGACGCCCTCCCCGGGCGCTCTCGGGTGGGCGGGACCGCGGAAGGTCAGCGCCGGAGCCCCCCGAACCCCGCGCGGGGCAGAGCGAGGCCGAGCGGAGAAAGGGAGCGGAACCTGGGAGGCGGGGGGTGCGGGAAGGGTCGGACGGAACCAACAGCGGACACCGGGCAGGGAGGCGGAATCCGCTGACAAGACACAGCCCTCGTACCACCCGGCCCCAGTGACCTCTCCCAGACCCACCTGCTCCATGTCAGCCACCACCCAGGCTCTTCCTGCCCCAGCCGCAGTCCGCCTCGGCTGCCCCGGGAGCGCCTCCGAGCGGAACAGGATCTCCCGGCGGCGCCACTTCCGCCGCTGAGCCCGCCCTCGAGTGCGAACTGGGATGTGCGTGGAGTGCAGCCCCGCCCCATTCGCCTCAGTCTCCGCCCCCCAGCCCTTGGGCCCCACCCCAGGGCCGGAAGCGGGGACTGCTTGAGGTTCTTACTAATGGTGGAGGAAATGGGAAAGAAGCCCAGGGGCATCATCATCGTTGGGCCACGGAGGCCTGGCACTGTGGGGAAAAAAGGGGAACTTCCTGAGGGGAGGCCTTTGGGGCTGGGGGACTGGTCCCTTTGGAGAAATCCAATTACTCTTGAAAGTTCTTTTCCCTCCCTGCCTCGTTCAGCCTCCCTAGCAGGATCTAGTACTTCTGTGGTCCTTCCTAAGAGTGCTCTGAGCTTGTCTTCAGGAAAGACCCAGACTAGAGGACTGGACACTAGGGTCGAGGTGGCCACCCACCAGGTCTTCCACATAGGGGAACCCGTTTCCCCCTCCTCCCTCTCCTTTCCCCTGAAAGAGAAGCCTCAGCACGGTTATTTACAAAGATTTATTTATTACGGCACAGGAGTGGTTCAGGCCTGGAGTCAGGGAAGAGGGGAAGGGGGCAGAGCAGCCGGAGGACAAGGAGAACCTGGCTTCCCCACCGTGCGCCCCCCTAAGGACATATACTAGGCGGCATTCCCGGCATCAAAGCACAAACAAAACGAAACAAAGCAGCCTCTGCTAGTCCATCTTCCAGGCACCCAGGCTGGGGAGCAGGGGTGATAAGGGGAAGATTTCCAAAATGTTGAGGTTGAGGAGAAGGATGCCCTGGGCCCTGGTAGAAGCCAGAGAGAGGGGTGGTAACTTGAAATCCCCCATAGGAGAGGGGACGGAGAAGGATCTAAGGGCACCTACAGGTTCTCAGTACCCTCTTTCCCCAGATCTTAGGGTCCTGCCCTGTGGGTTTCCTGTGCCCAGGAGAAGGGTCTGGGGAGTAGAATTGTGAAGGATAAACCTTTGCCCCACCCCACCGCCCACCCCTTACTGGATCATCCAAACTCTCTCACATCCCGCCTCCCTCTGGGTAAATGGGGGAATGACTGGCAGGGGTAGGCATCAGGCAGCAAGTGCCCAGGGACTCTGGGCATCAGCCAAAGGTGGGCAAACAAGCAAACACGGACCAGCCTTAAGTCTTCTAGAAGTCAGAAGCCACAGCCCTAGCGAGTGAGGGGGAAGGGTACAAAATAGGGTGGGGACAGAGTGGGTATCTGGGGAACAGCAATGCCCCCTCCACTTCCTTCTGAGCGATGCAAGGCCGGGTGCCTATGAGCCAGGCTCAGGGTGGGCGGGGCGCTGTGGCTCCTCCCCAGGCTCTGCAAGGCAAGCGAGGGACTCAGGGCTTGGCCACGCCCACAAAAGTCCCAGCCCCTCCTCCCCATCTGCCACGACCAAGCCTCACCATTTAGTGCCAGGTCTTCCACTTGTTCCTTGGAGCTTCCATCTCTCTGGGGCTCATCCAGAGGGGGTGGGCGCTCCCAGGGTCCTTCCAGACCCTGGCCACAAGCTGTCTTCTGCCCAGCTGGGGATGGGAATGAAGGGATAAAAACACAGTCTCTAAGTATCCATTCAGCCGTCCTGGAGCAGGAGCGGAGCCACTCTGACGGCTGAGGCTTAGCTTTCTGAGGGTATCATGGTATAATGGAGAGAACGCTGGACCAAGAATGCTCTCCCAATGACTAGCTATATGAGTTAGATAAGTCAGTTATTACCTCTCTGAAGGGGATGGTGAGAAGGAAATTGCGTAGATTGCCTTAAATAATTGTTAATATGCTGACCAGACCAGCACCGGCACTCCCGGAGTGGTGGCAATTGATATTTCTCCTTGGTAGTCTTGTCATTTAGCCCTCTGCCCTGCTGCTTTTCCAGAGAGAACAGTCTCCTCTTGCTTCCTCTTGACCTGTCCTGAGGGTCTCAGTGGGAGTTGACTCAACTTTCACCTGGAGCTTCTGCTCCAGCGTTGATACCCCACTGCCAGAGATGCAGAGAGAGGTCCAAGCCATTTTGTTTGGGTGCGAGGGCTGGAACACTGCAAGCAGGGTTAGTCGACTGTTTCTCATCCCCATAAATAATGGGACCAGAAAGTTTAACGTGAGCGGGGAGGGATAGATACGGCACAGCCTTCCATAGATAAGGATGGAAAACACAACCATGGGAGGGGCAGAGATCTTTCTGCCTCGGAATTCTCTGGGCCTCAGGACCCTCTGTGGAGATTTCTGGATCTGGGGCTTCTAGCTCTGAGGTCTTTTGTGTAGGTCTTATGCCCCTCCTTGACCCCTCTCTTCCCTGGCAGTTGGAGTTGGAGCGCAGAAGACTGGGTTGTTCTTGAATCCTAGATTCTCCATCTAGACACTAGAGGGCGCCCTCTCACCTCCAGCCCAGGAAATAAAAGGGGGAGAAACAGCCGCAGGGTCCTGGGAAGGACTTAAGAACCAGCTCTTTGCCTCCCAGCAGAAACCACATCCTACATTTGAAAACACAGGTAATGGGGGCATCGCACCCTCTTAGTTCTCTATCCTGGCATCTCCTGTACTCCCTCACGGCCATGGATGGGAAGTCTTTTCTTGGGTCTAGCCGCAAACCTCATGTGGCTGTAATTCTTAGGGAATAGCGGAATTCCTAGGGACGACCTGATTCGGGAGAGGGTCAGGATGGGAGCAGCCCAGGTATCCTAGGGCACCTGTGGGTGGGAGGGTGGGGAGGCCCTCACCGTGCAACTGCGGTTTAACGCGCATGCAAGCTCTGAGCTGGGAGGGGTGCCCCAGGACACTCAGGGAGGACCGCATCAGGCTTCTCCTGCTCCTTCAGCTTACCAGGCCCCCTGCTGCTCTTCAGGACTTCAGCCTGGCTGTCCTCCTCCTCCTCCTCCTCCTCCTCCTCCTCCTCCTCCTCCTCATCTTCCTCTCTTGGGTAGCCCAGTTCCCGCAGCTCCCCCAGCTCATCCTCCTCTTCCGAGGCCTGGTTCTCACTCAGGTTGCCGATGGACTGCAGATGAGACTCAGCGATGCGCTGCACGGCTGGCACAGGCGGACCCAGAAGGCAAGGGTGAGCCGGGCCAAGAAGTGGCCCCATGGAGCTGGAGAGTCACGTGGCCCGGCCCCAACCTCCTTCCCATGGCCTGGGGCATGGCTAACCACCCCCCCCCCCCGCAGGGCTCTAGTTCAAAAGCTAAAGGTCACAGGTCGGTCTGCTGGGGGGCCAGACCAGGGCAGAAGCAGCAGGGGGTAGACCCTTAATCGTGTTTGGCTCCTAAGCTGTCCAGGGATGCAGACCTCCTCAGAGGCCGGCCCCAGGCAGTTCCCCTGAACCATAGGGCGCCGTGCTGGACAAGACCAGGCAGGTACAGCAGCAGCTTAACATTCCGTGGCTGGGGCACTTGCTTCTCCCACGTACTGGAGACAGTGTCCAGTAGCTGTAGCCCCGGCCGGGAGGCACAGGACCCATGGACCAGGGCCTGTGGGATTTGTCCCTCTGTTTCTAGCAGCATGCCCAGACTGCTGAGGGCTCATTGCTTACCCCGATCCTGCTGGGCTCGGCCCCCCCCCCCCCCCCCCCCGGCCCTAGCCTGTCATAGACGCCACTCCACACATCTCTGCCCCAGGTGCTGAGATAGGGACAATTCAGGGACGGAGGATGTAACAGTCCGCAGCCAGCGAGGTTTGTGCCTGGGGATGTGGCATGCTCAGACGCAGCCCCCACAATCTTGACCCACATCCCCAAGCTTCCAGCTCCCTCTGTGGTGACCTAGAAAGCAGCAAACACCACCCACCCCCCCAACACCACCAAGGCCTGCTGGGATAGGGCCTAGGAAAGGAACAGTGTGGGCAGCTGAGGAGAAGTTTCCAAAAGATGGAAAGGCCCAGGGGGTTAGGAGAAAGGGGCCAGGGCTGGGGGGTTCTGGGGAAATGGCAGGGGTGGAGGGGATGCTGTGACGAGTGGTTGGGGCAGAGGCAGCAGGGGGACCAGGAGCCGGTGGGATTTAAGAGCACTTGGGTAGCCAAACTCACAGCTCACAGACAGGATGCTGAGAAGCTAGGGGCTGGAGTGGTTACAGCTCCTTCTGGGGAGGCAGGCAGGCCCTCCCCTCAGAAAGCCCAGAGGGGTAGATCCAGGCTGGCAACCACCGGTGCGATGAACAGGGCATCACACTCCTGCCAACTCGGGACAGGCACAGAGGGCGCATTGTGTGTGCCCACTGCCCCGCCCTGCCCCAGGCTCCCAGCCCGGTGCCTCCCACTGGCTCTGGGCAAGCTATCCAGGCAATAAAAATGCAATAAATCGCCCTGCCCTGGCCTTGGGGACATGGCGGATCTTTACCTTGAGCCAAGTGTGAGAGCTCAGCCTTGGAGAGTCCCCCTCAAGCCAAGACTCGGTGTTGTCCACCCTCCCCTGGAGGCCCCCGGCTTTCTCCCCTTACAAACCCCCAACCCTGGGGCGCCTGGGTGGCTCAGTCGTTGGGCGTCTGCCTTCAGTTCGGGTCATGATCCCAGAGTCCTGGGATCGAGCCCCACATTGGACTCCTTGCTCTGCCAGAAGCCTGCGTCTCCCTCTCCCCCTACCCCTGCTTGTGTTCCCCCTCTCGCTGACTCTCTCTGTCAAATAAATAAATAAAATCTTAAAAAAAAAAACAAAACAAAAAAAACCCAACCCTGCCAGGAGCTTTCCCTTGCCCGGAAAGGGGCTGAAGTCTGCGAAACAGTGCCCTCCAGGTACAGAAGGGTCCTCTGAGAGTTGGGGGTCGAAGGGAGGAGAGGAAGTGGCTGCTCCAGCAAGCGCCCTCTCCCCCAGTCAGGGGAAGAGAGTTTAGTTCCCGTGCCACAGTGACAATAGGTATGCAGCGCCCGCCCCTGCTGGTGCCCTGGGAGCCTCCCGCGCACCGCGCCTCCCCTCCTGCACTCGGAGCTCTCTGGGGTCTCCTCCTCGCCCTCCCAGCTGTCTTCTTCTCTGTCTGTCCCCATTTCTGGGGCCCTGAGCTCCCCCAACCCAAGTCTCCTTTTCAAAGCCAGAATGTCTGCAGTACAGCCCCCAGACTGCCCTGCCTCTCCCAACTTGGTCCCTACTAAGGTGCGGTCCAAAGGGGCAATGGTGGTGGGAGCCCATTTCCAGCCCTTGCAGGGTGCCCAGGAAGCCCCTTGGCCCTAGCCTCTTCACCCCAGCCTTCTGCCCCATGCTCGTGACCAAGAGTCCAAGGGACGGTTCTTGCCCCTCACATCCACTCAGCCCTCCCCAGCCCAGAGTAGGGAGGAGAGAGAGGTCTTCTGTTCTCTCCTGAGAAGATGCCACCACCTCCCTCATGCCTCCTTCAGGGGCTGGCCTTCCCCCACATCCCTACAGGTGGGAAGTCCTTCCAGGTGCTGCACCCACTGCCCACATGCTATCCCTTCCTCTTTCTGTCCTGGGTGTGGGGGGGAGAGAAAATGCCCTTGCCCTTCTCTCTTCTCCCAGCCTCTCCTCTCTGCTCCTAACCCTGGCAGGCAGGCTAGCAGGTGCGCCTGTTGACCTTGGCCGGTGCTGGGAACTCATTAAACCCACCCCAGAAGGAGCTCCCAGCACACCCTTCCGGTCTCCTCCCTCCACAGGAGGAGGGGGCTGGCCAGGCAGGAAGAGCCTCAGGCCAGAGCTGAGGTGGGAGTGGGAAGGCATCCTTTGGCTTAGTTAGGAAGAGACCCTCCCCACGCCCCCAGCTCCGCCCCCAGCTCCACGTCCCCAGCTCCACTCCCTCTCCTCCAGGGGTAGGCGGACTCTAAAGACTCCCTGTGATTTCACACCTCCTCCCCTGTGCACATTTCCTTTCCTCTTCCTAGAATGCCCTTCCATGCCTTGCCCGCCTGTTGAATCCCTTCTCATCCTTCAAATCCAGGCTTAACCCTCCTCTCCTCGGTAACTTGCCCACGACCCTTTGAGGCAAAAGGCCCCAAGAGGGTGGGGGCCAAATCTGACTCCTCCCATTTTGCCTAATGCCCACCAGTGAGGCCTGGCACACACTAGGTGTTCTCTCCTAAGTGTGTGCTCTAGGAATGACTTGTGTTTTAACATAGAAAGGAGAAGCAGGACCAAGAAGCAACCAGTTTGCTGGCCTGAGCAAATGTTCTTCCAGTGGGGGAGGGGAGCCAGAGCTGTACCTGCAGAAGGTGCTGGTTGGGGGCGTGGCGGGGGACAGAGCGGGGGCACTGGAAGGTGGTCTGGCACACACTTGCAAAGAGGAGGTACAGAGCTGAATATCTGTATGTTGATGATACTTGTCATTTTAGGTTAGCCGCCTCTTTTCTTTCAACCCCACAACCTGATCTGAAGGCCCGCAGCCACCCCTTTCAGCCCCTGGGCCCCTTCTTTACAAGACCGAATTAAGAAAGATCTGGTCCCTAAGTAGTGGTTGGGGTACACAAGACAATCCCTCCCGACTGACAAAAGCTCAAAACTTCACCTCCCTCCCCCAGTGTCAGCCTGGTTCTGGGGGTGTCAAGGGGCCAGCCAGACTGATGGAGGGGGGGATAGTACCTTTCAGCGAGGGGGGTGTATAGGCACATGGGTTGGGTCTCTTCGACTTGTGGTGGTGCCCCTCTCCTGAGGCTCTCTGCCGGGGTAAGTGACAGGTTAACCAGGCTCACCAGAGGCCCCCTCCCTTCACCATTCCTCCATTCCACCCCAGCCCGGGCAACCCAGGCCACAACTGTTTTAGCCTCCGCTGATGGGTCCAGCCAGGCTGCCCTGTTGCTTTGGGAGGGTCTTCCATAAGCTGCAACCTGGCTCAGGGCAGAATCCAGGGTTCTGGAGGCCCAGCCCAAGTCTGAGCAGAGGAAAGACAAGGGCAGGGGAGTCTGTACCAGTGGGACCCTGGCACCAGGCACTCTTACCAAGGTGCCAATGGATATGGTAATGTGTCCTCCAGGGTGGCACCATGTGTTAGTCGGGAGGAATCCTGTCCAGCCCACCAAAAAGGGCCCCTAGCATCCCTCCTTCCAGCTGCCCCTGGAAACTCACCTGGTGAGGGGAGGCCTCCTCCTCTGAGGGAGACCACCAATGAACCAAGAGAAACCGAGGGACGAAGAGAGAGGACGGGGAGGAAAGGGAAGAGAGAAAGAGAATCGGAATTACTTTCCCCAAAGGCTCAGGCTCTGGGGAAAGGGAAAGTGTGCCCTTTCCTTCTGGGTGTTGGAAGGTGCCTGGTCAATAAATGAACCCAGAAGGGTTGGGCTCCCATATCGTACCCACTCCCCCTCATCTTCTGCTCAGTCACCTACTCATGGGACTTTGGCAAGGGCCCCAAGAAGGCTTCAGAGTTAGGGTAGGGCCAGGGCTGGGGCACCAGGGAAGGGCCCACCTGGTGAGGAGTGCTCTGAGAGCCGGAACAGCATGGCAGGGGTTGGTCTCCTGCGCCGGATCTAAGGAGATGGAGAAAGAGGTGGGGGGAGGGGAGCAGGACAGACACCTGCACCCCCCCCTCCCCAGGCAGCAGGGAACAAACAGTGCTTTGAAATCCCCAGGGAGCCTTTGAATCAAAGACTGTTAGAGCTGAAAGGAACTCTATAGTTCACGCAACCCCCTCATTTTACAGAGGTGAAAACCTAGGGCTCAAAGAGGTTCAGGCAGGAGCTCAAGACCACGCAGCTCACCACAGCAGAGAAAGGAGGAGAAAAGCCCATCACTGACTCCTAGCTCATACCTGTCCCACTCCGTGGCTCCTCCAGAATGGGCATCTCCCTTTCCACCTTCCCCTATCAGGGAGGCCCATCCCCTCCTGCTTTTGCAGATATCAGACCTCAGGAGCAGAAGCTGACTGTGAGAGATGCCCCCCTGGGCCATGGCACCCACATGGCCCTGCCCACCTAAGGTCAGCTCAAGGGCTCCAAAGAAACCAGATCCCGCTGCAGAGAAGGCTGAGCCAAGAAGTGCAGACACCTGCAACCTCACACTGAGGCTCAGATGTGGGCCTGAGCCCCAGACCCACCCGGTCCTGGAGGTGTCCCTGGAAGACGGTGTCTGGGTCTCTCTAGCAGTCTCTCTCAGGCTGTAAAACTCTTGGCCCAGTGCCCATAAAAAATAAAGTTGCCCTCCTTGATACATGAGCCAAGCTGAACAGTGCGGGGGGAGGGGGGACACTGAGCACTCCCAGTAGCTGCCCCCCCCCACCAGCTTGGCAATCAGACCAACTGTCAGTTAATTAGGTCCCCTCGGAGCTCCAGGGAAATGCACAAAGAGAACCAGGTGAATGAAGCTGAAACTGTCACCCGCCCCCACTGCCAAGCTCTCCAAACTTCCCTCCAGACCCAAAGCTGCTTAGACCCAGGACCCCATGGCCCCCCTATCTCCCCCCAGAATGACTTGGCTCCACTCTCACTGCTCTGCTGGGTGTCAGCTGCAGCTCAGCAACAAGTGAACACTCTACTTGGGGGGGGGGGCGGAGCCCTCTTCTCTCCCTCCGTCCACTCCCACCACCTTTGGAGACCTCTCGACCCCCAGGAAGACTCTCCAGAGAACTCAGTACTCTGGGAAGGGGTCTGGCTTCTGTGACGACTGGTCGCCCCCACCCGCATGTTGTGGCTCCGTGTAGGGCCTGGCAGCAGAAGGAGGTCAGAACAAGGCTCTGGAGGCCCGGCCCAGGCACACACGGTGGGACCAGAGAGGGGCAGAGCCTGGGGCGGCGAGCTGGAGGCCGGTTCTGTACAACGGGTCAGTGCACCACCACGTGTCTCACTTCCGACCAGCTCTGGCTGGGGCCAGGGCGCAGCGGTCCCAGTGGCAGCCTCGGTTAGGACACCGTGCAGGGGCCAGAGCACAGTCTCCCCGCCCGGAGTTGGCCCGGAACGGCCGGGGCCCCGACGCTCGCCGCCCGGCATTCTGCGGCCCCGGGAAAAAGTTGCCGGAGTCCGCCGCGAACTTCACGCGCTGCCCCGCGCCCCCGCGTGTCCGAGGCGGCCCGAGACGCTCCGTCGCCCCCCCCCCCGACCCAGGCCTGTTCGGCCCCGGCAGCGCCCCGCCGCGGGAGGAGGCGCGGGTGTGTTGGGGGCGCTGCCGGGGGTGGGGCGCGGCCCCCTTACCATCTCCACCTGGCGGGGGTCGAGCTGGCTGGGGGGCGCGGGCACCGAGAACTGGATCTTCTTGCGGTCCTTGGGGTCCATGGCGGGAGGGATGGCCGGCGAGGCTGGGGGCGCGCGTCTCGGGGTCCCGGGCTGCGGTCCCGGCTCAGCTTCCCCGCGCTGCTCCGGGCGCGGCGGCGAGCGCTGGCTGTGCGCTGCGAGGGGGAGGCGAGCGGCTCACGCTCAGATAAAAATACCGCGCGCCGCGAGGGGAGGGCGCGCGAGCGGGAGGGGGTCGCGCCGGCTCCGAGCGCCCCCGACTCTCGGCTCTCGGGCTCGCCCGCCGCGCCCGCCGTGCGGGTCCCCGGGCGCCTGCAGCCTGGGCTCCCGGCTCGTGGGCTCGGGGTCTCTGTCCCTCTCCCTGAGTCTCGCCTCTCCCTCCTTCCCTCGCTCTCTCCGAGGGTCTCTGTGGGTGTCTCCGCCTTCCTCTCTCTCCCTCCCTTCCTCTCCGTGCGCCTCTATCTCTGCCTTTCTCGATCCCTCCAGGTCTCACCCTCCGGTCCCAGCCTTGGGGTCCCCGGCCCGCCCCTCGGCCTGGGACTGGCGCCCGGGGGCTGGGTGGGAGGGCCCAGGGGGAAGTGGCCAATGAGCACTGAGAACCGTGTTCTCCCCGGGCCGGGAGGAGGGTGCGGAGTGTGAGCCAGGACCCGGGGAGCGGGCTGGGGGCCCCCCTGCCGTCTCCCGAGAACTTGAAGCTGCATTATTGATGGAGTCCAGCGGGGAGGATAATGGGGGTGGGGTGGGGAGGCCGGGGCGGGAGGTGTGGGGGGAGACGGGCAGCCGGGAGACGGGACTCTGGCTTTAACCCCTTCGTGGCCTGGGTCCTTGGAGTTTCACGAGGAGGCCTGGGAGGTCCCGGAGAAACTATCACCAGCATGTCACGCTGTGAATGGGGGTGTCCTAGAGAGCCAGAGAGTGTGAAAGAGCGGGTGTGTGGGGGAGGACACGTGTCAGTCATCATGGCAGGGAGTGTGTGTGAGTGCCAGGGGGACCTGTGGTGCCCGTAGCTAGGGAGCTTGTATGTGTGTGTGTGTGGGGGGGGGGTCCGTGTGGCATGAGTGTGTGTGAGTCTATGTGAGTAAGTGTGTCAGAGTGTCAAGGATGCGGGTGTGAGTGGCAGGGTGTGGGAAGGCTGTGTGCTGGGGGAGGGTGTGGGTGTGGGGGAGGATGTCAGAGGCTGTCAAGGTGATGGGCTGGCGTGTGGCAGCTTGGGAGGGGTGGAGGGGCTGTATCCACAGCTCTAGCCTGTGCAGAAGAGGGGGATGAGGTTGTGATCCTGGGGGGCAGGGGGGGTTGTGTTCCTGCCCTGATGTACCCTGGGTTCACATGTCTCCGGTCTTTTCTCCCCAGATCTAAAGTGGGAGGGGGGGAGCCAGAGCCAGCCCCGGGGGGACAGAGTTGGGGGGCTGCCTGTACCAGTACACGTGCCATCACATGTGTGAGTTTGGTGCATTCGGGAACAGAGCTGGGGGAAGGGGAGAGGTGCGTGTGCTCATTTCGGAGGTGTGAGCCTCTCTCCCTTTGCCGGTGTTGGTGTGTGTCTCTGGAGGGGAAAAGAGAGAAGCTGGTCCTGTGTGTTAGGGTGGGTTAGGGTGTCCCTGTTTATCTGTCCAGGCCCTGGGTATCTCTGCAGGCCTATGGGAGAGCACCGGAATGCTTTTCCGTAGCGTTGAGAGGGTGCATGTGTAGATGAGTACATAAGAGTGCGCCTTCCTGGGGCTCTGTTTGTGTTGGCTGTCCTCTCTCCTGGTCACGCTTAGACCTGGAACAGCCAGGAGCACTCCCCCTGCCCCACCCCCTCCAGCAACTTTTCCACTCCTAGCCCCAGTATGCTGGGTCCTTGGCAGAAGGGAGCAAGAGACCAGAGGAGTCTTGTGAAAACGGGGTCAAGGGCACAATGTTGCACCCCCCAGTCACCCAGAGGGTGGCAGGAGAGCAGAGCTTTGCTTACAGGAGCTGGGAATCCTGGCCACTCAGCTCCACTACCCCCCAACCCCAGGCCTGGTTCAAATCCCACTGTGTTTGTTGACTTACATGCTTGTCAGGGAAACGGCCAGATGCTGGGTCGTGACCCAGGGGTGTGGGCATCTCTGGCAGCCCCTGGCTTGGCCTAGACCCCTCTTCCAGGTGCAGTGTGCTGGGGAGTGGCAAAGAGCAGTTTGGCAGTGCCTTGAGAGCATAAATATGGAGGTCCTGAAAGTCAGAGGGGCACAGGAAGGGCATGTATACCTGATTGGCCACTGGACCAAGGTGAGGGTGAGGGGCCTGTGGCTTCCAGGGCTGGGGAAGTGGAAAAGTCCTGGAGCAGGGTGAAGGGGGACAGAGGACAGCTGGGTGGGTGACAAGAGGACAGGGACAGGGAGGCATCACCACCAGTCACACCTCAGAGCCCATCAGAGTGAGAAAGCCTCGGGGACCATGGCGGCTAGGCTCATTTGACCAGGGAGGACTCATCTGTGGAGGTTCTGCCAAAAGGATTGGCACTCTGGGAGGCCATGAGGGAAAAACTCCCCTGACCCAGGCTGGGGCAGCTGGGAAGGTAGACTCCCCCTCTGAGCTAGGCCTGGAAGATGGGCTCTTTGGGGTGGATGGGAGGGTTTTTACCCTCTTCTCCCAGCCTTCGCCCAGGCCCCCACAGCTCTGGCCACAAAACCTGGGCCACAAGGGGTGGGGAAGCCTGGCTGACGAAGGAACAGGCACAGGGACAGACAGGAAGGGGGAGGAAGGGAAGAAGGAAGACAGAGACAGGAGGTGAGAGAGAGAAGGTGGGGAGGCAGGACAAAGTGAAAAGAGAGAAAACACATGTGAGAGATGGAGAGACAAAGGGAGAAAGAAAGCCTCACCATGGAGAGAGGCAGGAGACAGAGATGGAAAGAGAGTAAAAATAGCTCAGCATTAAGATAATTGCAGCTCACAGTTCTGCCCTCCGTTAGGAATTAAATGAGGTTTTATTACTTTGATTTTTCTCTCCTGGATCCTACGCGACTTCTCAAGAACTTGAGGAAAAGTTTTTCAGGTGGGCGGCCAGGTGGCGGGGGCTGCGTGGGTGACGGAGGAGGAAGGGAACAGGACTTCTGGGAGCCGGGGGGACGCGGTCAGGGGCAAGGGGTGCGGTGGGACTTGTGAGGGTGGGGGAGCCCCCACGGGAGCTGGGAGATGTGGCCAGGGTCAGGCACATGGGGGCGGGGGACTAAGAAGCAAGGGGCCAGGGTGACCTCCATTCTCTTTGACTTAGAATTAATCATATGCAAATGAGATGTAAAAATAATGTGCCACTCCTCAGTTATTATTCTTGAGTTAGAAGCACAGGCGGTTGGGTCCAAGAAACAAAATCAAGACCTTGTTTGACTTAACTCTGATTGAACTATGGGTCTTTCTGCTTGGACAGACAAAAATAAGAATTGTGGTGTGTCCATTAATGTGTCATAGGTCTCAACACACTATTTTGAGACATGTCCTTCTCACCATTTCTCTTCACATCATTGCCGGCTTGCTGCCACACTGCCCAGCGTACAGGAGGCACTACGTTCACCTTCTCTGGAAGGTGAGTCTGGAAGGGCGGTGTGAGGCCTTTGCCTTCCTTCTGGGAGTTGGGGAGAGTGGAAGATCGCGAATATTTCCTCCCTTCCCCCAAGCAAGATACGGTCAGGTGGACAGAACATACACTGAGGAGTTGGACAGACCTGGGTAGGAAACTTGGATCTATAATTTACTGTGTGATCTTAGATAAAATCTTACCCTCTCTGTGCCTCAGTTTCCTCGTATTTCAAAGCCCACCTCACATGGTAGCTGGGACGATTCTATAGGATAAAGCGAGTAAAGCCCCCAGCCCAGGACTGTACTCCTGGCAGATGTGCAGTCAAGTCTAGCTTCCCTGGAGTTCAGGAGTGCGGTTCCGAGAAAGGCCAGCAGGTGGCGGAGTCGGCCAGGGTTTGGGCGGCTGAGCTGCTGGTATTGCGGGCCTGTAGTTGGGCATCATACCCGTGACCTTGGCACCACGGAGCTGAGCAGAGCTGGCCGGGCTGGCACGTGGCAGCTGGAAGGGAGGCCCCGGAAGCCCTGGGAAGCAACCTTAGTGAAGCCGGGGAGCACTAGCTGGGCACACCGGGGCATCTTTCCCTGCGGAAGCTGCTGGTGGGGAGACGGGAGAGGGAGGAGGGGCGAATTCCAAGGCCTGCCTCTGGGGAAACCCGTGGACAAGAAGAAGAGGAGAGGGCAAGGGCATTCTCAGCCAGGACAAAAGTGGTATCAGGACAGACGGGCCGTCATCTGAAACATTCATTCAACATATTCATTCATTCGTTCATTTATTCATCCAACACCCATCCCTTTGCCTACTGAATTGGGTGCTTTTTAAAAAATCAACTTTATTGGGGGGCGCCTGGGTGTTTCAGTTGGTTAAGTGTCTGCCTTTGGCTCAGGTCATGATCTTAGCGTCCTGGGATGGAGCCCCACATCGGGCTCCCTGCTCTGCGGGGAGCCTGCTTCTCCCTCTGCCCACCCCCCCCCCGCTAGTGCTCTCTCTCTCAGATAAATAAAATCTTTTTTAAAAAATCAACTTTATTGAATCAGAGTTTTTTATACAATAAAATGTACCATTTCAAAATATACATTTAGGGGCTCCTGGGTGGTACGGTCGGTTAAGCCTTGGACTTTTGGTTTTAGCTCAGGTCGAGATCTCAGGTTGTGGGATGGAGCCCTGCTTCCAGCCCCACGCTCATTGCAGAGTCTGCTTGAGTTTCTCTCTCCCTCTCTCTCTGACCCCCCCCATCAAATATATATATTTCTTTCCTTCTTTTCTTTCCTTTTTTTTTTAAAAGATTTTATTTATTTATTTGACAGAGAGAGACACAGTGAGAGAGGGAACATGAGCAGGGGGAGTGGGAGAGGGAGAAGCAGGCTTCCTGCTGAGCAGGGAGCCCGATGTGGGGCTCGATCCCAGGACCGTGGGATCATGACCTGAACCAAAGGCGGACGCTTAATGACTGAGCCACCCAGGCACCCCTCCCTTTTTTTTTTTTTTTTTTTTTTTTTAAGTAAGCTCCACTCCCAGCGCAAAGCCCAACTTAGGGCTTGAACAAGGACCCTGAGATAAGACCTGAGGTCATATCAAGAGCCGGTCACC